AGTCGAGGCATTGACATTCACACTCGTCCTTTGTACATTTTATTCAATTCATACAATATACACTTCCTTAACATTCCTATCTCTTCCCGCTTTGTTCCCTTCCTTCATGCCACAGCTGGTAACCCCTCTCTATAGCTCGTCACTCCCACTGATCTTATTTCACTAATAGTTTCCTTATTCGTCTATACAGAATGATTTAGTCTTATTTTATTTGCCTAAAAATTGTTTGACTGGTTCAGGTAAATACCACATACTTTATATGATTCTGTAGTTTATTATTATTTGTTTCGTTACTTTACATAATATTGGAATGCTGTAATGTAGTCATTTCAGAGTTGTTTTATTGTGTGTGTTGTGCTTTGTTCCTTTATCTTTGTTCTGCTGATAAAGGCTTAATCACCACAGTGTCCTTTGTCTATTGTAACTGGACCTGACAAGCTGATATATATATATGTTTATATATATATATTTAAATATCTGTTCTAAATGGAATGAAGAATTGTATACAATAAGTTATGTTCCTTGGATATAAGAAAAATATTTATTCATTTTACTTAAAACTAATATCAGCCTATGACAGAATCATGGACATTGAGTGAACAATTATTTAAAAAAAATTCATTTGAATTCTTGTTTTTATAAAAAAACGCTAAATGCCGGAGACAAAATGGTTTTAACCATGCCAAGATGAAAAAAAAAAAGGTGGTAGATGTTTTTACATTAACAAATATTACATTGACATGGAGGAGGATAGTGACACAAATTTCATAATTTTCTTTCATCATTTCAGGAAAAAAGTTTTAAGATATTAATGAATACATTTTGTTGAGTCTGATTTATTGAAGGTAGCATTATTTTTGCTTCCATACTCATAGCACATCTGTGTTAATTATTCCATAATTTGCTGTCATTAATATTTAAAGACATGCTTTGAGATATTTTTTTGGGTATCAATTCCAGGTGACATTAGAATGCCAGCTTTTAATAAAAAAGAAAATCCAATGCAACTGTGTAAAGACTTTGGTGGGCTGACCAAGCATGGTTCCCTTGTACACACTAAACTTGAGAAAGTATATGACATGTACCCACTGAGATGGTCTGGCTTAAATCATGTAAGTGTCCTTTATTTGAGATTTTTACTAGAAGTTACACAGAACCTGTTTTAACATGTGGCTGTGAGCACTGAATATTACTGTGGACAATTAGTCATCATCATCATCATAAACCACTTCTGTCATTAAGCTTCATGGGGAGGAATAATTTGCGATCCAAAGCACCCTGGTTAGCCCTGGCTATAGTCATGCAGCAAAGGTGTAAAATGTCTTTAACTCTTTCAGTCCCAGAGGGTTTAGCATCACAGCCCCAAGATTTAGTAAAGAGAGACATAAAATCGGCGCATCATGCGTTCATTGGGCTTCTAGGTAGGAATCTTTGAACGTATGATGCGTTCATTAGGACTCAAGTTAATATTGTTGATCCATAATTTCCGTTTCCGTCCTCTTGCTCGTCGCAAATGTAGTGCTTGCAATTCTATTTGATTTTGCTGCATTTTAATGAGATGGCTGAACCTCTTGATCTGCTGTTTCTTGATGAATCTAGTACAAGGTGTCATTCCACAATCTGTCTGATAGTATCATTATTATTATGGTATCAGTCAGTCAATCAACATCACCTTTACTGAATATTGCTCCCTTCACGGTATGCATGAAAATCTCTTGTTCTGCAGCCCATTCTCCAGTCCTCAACGCAGGTCAGCCTCTTCTTGAAACTGCACCCTCCATCATCATTCTCTCCAAACCACCATGACACCTGACATGTCCAAAATACCACAGCATTCAGGAGAGGATACAGTTTTGTGAGCTCCTTCTCCCTGATGTTCAAGTCATGCAGGATGTCAACATTTGTTTTCTTTTTGGCCCACAGTATTTTATGATTTTCTTCCTGTGGGTTATGGGACCCCATTGAGAGGGGGGGGGGGGGGGGAGGGACAAGAATAGACCCACTGCTTCACCTACAAGCATGGCGTAAGAGACAACTAATTGGATGCTTTTGCCTGAGAGGCAAGGAACCATCTGCATAAAGTTAGGTCAGATCTGTTGAACGGATGTGCATGAGTTAAGAGTTGGATTATCTTCACAGGACTCCGGACACATCCATAGGTGCTCAGATTCCCCTCTCAACATATTCATCAGTGTCGCGGTTAAAAAATGCCAGTCATATGCTGGTTGACAAGACTTTATAGATGTGCATACAACACTCAGGTTCTGGAGCAAGACTAAAGTCCAGAGGTGAGCAGATAATCAGAACTTTCCGTTGGAGTTTACAGCGATTGAACGCAAAGAAGAAGAAGAGTATTTTAAGAATTTTTTGGTACATATTATAGAGAATATTTTTGCTTAATATTGAGATTAATTAGAAATATATCTTGTTTTGTGGACGAAAAATTTTATGAAGATGTGATCACTTGAGTGTCAAGTTAAATTTTTTTTTTTACATCAGCTTCTGTCTCATTCTCTGTATTTTCTTTATCTTATTATCATCCTTTATTTTCAGGTACATGAAAACACAAGCACAGTCAATCAAATATACACAAACAAATACATTGGTCTTATCAATCTCACAGCTGTATATGAATTTTGAGTTTCATATTATGTTTCAGTCAGATGTTGAGAAAAGCATAGAGAAAGTATTAGGCCCATTGTCACTGTTTTCCCCAACATCTCAGGAAGATGGTAAGAATACTGAATTATTCTTGCAGTGTGATGTAAATGTATTTCTAGATATACTGGTAAACTGTACAAATATTATAAAGGTAGATATACTGATAAATTTTATAAATATTTTAAAGGACCATCAAGTATGTTTTCATAAAATAGCAACATTAGTTGTTACCCTCACTGAGGGGCTATGATACTAGCCTGATGTATTTAAAGGGTATGGGTTTGTATCCAGTTGAAAAAAGAAAATTGTGTCGACTCCAAAAGAAAGTAAATAAGTTAGTGAAGGCCCCTTTTCCTTGAATAGAGGCATATTTATTATACAGTGTTAGACATGTTTGTTATAAACTAATCAACACTCACTGAGTGATCAGGTTATCACAGTTCCAACTTTATAGCAAACGGGTCACCCCATAGCTGCTCCGTTCTTGTGCCAGTGAAAACCACATAGTTGTCTCTAAGGAAGAAAGACACACATTGCAGTCTTAACAAAGCTAGCAGCATACAAATGCATTAAATGCATAAGGCAGCCATCAGAGGTGCCAACACAAAAAGTTCGACACTAGAAATTGATGGAAGCAGCAGTTACAACAGATTAGTGGTTACACACACAGTCAATCATATATTTTACCACCTAGTTTACTGGCAACAGGCTGAACGCCATTTTCTCTAAAAATGAGTGATGTATTAATATCACATCAGATGCCTTTATTTCCGAGAGCATTTCCTGATACCTTTTTAAAGCTGAGTTGACCTGGGAACTCAGATAAAGTTTAAAAATATCCTGCCTCAGTGGGCATTGAAAAATTGTCCAGCTGCAGGCAAATGTGTTAACACTACCTTTGCAGCTGCTTGTTGACTAGAGATTAAAGTCACTGAGCTACTGCAGCTCCCTATCTACCAGTGCTAGAAGCCACTGTGCTACTGCAGCTCCCTATCTGCCAGAGCTGAAAGCTACTGTGCTACTGCAGCTTCCTATCTACCAGAGCTGAAAGTCACTGTGTTACTGCAGCTCCCTATCTATTAGAGGTGAAGCCATTTTGCTACTGCAGTTCCCCATCGACCAGACTTAAAAGCCACTGTGCTACTGCAGCTCCCTATCTACTAGAGGTGAAGCCATTTTGCTACTGCAGTTTCCCATCGACCAGACTTAAAAGCCACTGTACTACTGCAGCTCCCTATCTACTAGAGGTGAAGCCATTTTGCTACTGCAGTTCCCCATCGACCAGACTTAAAAGCCACTGTACTACTGCAGCTTCCTATCTACTAGAGGTGAAGCCATTTTGCTTCTGCAGCTTCCTATCTACCAGAGGTGAAAGCCACTGCTTCTGCAGCTTCCTATCTACCAGTGGTGAAAGCCACTGTGCTTCTGCAGCTCCCTATCTACCAGAGGTGAAAGCCACTGTGCTTCTGCAGCTCCCTATCTACCAGAGGTGAAAGCCACTGTGCTTCTGCAGCTCCGTATCTACCAGAGGTGAAAGCCACTGTGCTTCTGCAGCTCCCTATCTACCAGAGGGGAAAGCCACTGCACTATTGTAGCTTCCTATCTACTAGAGGTGAAGTAAAAATTATAATCTTGCAATGGACGGCAACTGCTTGAGTTAGCATCATTTGTTTCTCAGCCCTCAGTAAAACTCTTGTATCAGACCTGAGTTGTTTCCAGACAACAGTGTTGTTTATTTCATGTTATAAAAAGGCACAGAAATCACAGAGATGAAGTTACTCCTGTATAGCACAAAGTCTTGGCAGTATTGTAGATACTACGGTCCCTCCCTAGTCCTGCCTTGTTTACTACAAACAGAAGGTAACACTGATATATTTGGAATGTGGCTTACTGCAAAAGCTGCCAGATCAGCATTGCAGTGCAAGCATGGGTTATTTATGTTAAGTTATAATGCTATTTGTCCTTTAGCACAATTTAAAAACAACAACAAAAAAAAAAGATTATGCTTACTGTGTAGTATCACATTTATAGCCAGATGTGACACAGTAGTGACAAAACAGATACTATATTAACCAAAAGTTTTGGGGTTATGCCAGCTCAATCATTGTAATCTGCTGTACACAGATTTGTAGTACTACACTAAAACCCTTGTTCATATGTCTTCAGCATGATTCTCTGTGGCAATTAGTATTTAGGCATTCTTATCAGATTGCCAAACAATCTTATCTTTTGCTTTTTAATGAATTATATGGCTGGTTAAGTACTAGTCTTTTATAAAGTGAATTCTATTATTAAATACAACATTAACATTTCACATTTTTGTTGGCATGTCTTTTTAGAAGTTCCAGTCATTGAGCAGCTACAGCTTGACAGACCAGTTACTTCTATTGATGTAAGCTCATATTTTAAAAATATAAATACACCTAAGTATATAGTTAGTAACTAAAATAAAAAATAAAAAAAAGTTACCTTTTAAAATTATTTTTGTTTTAAGTACCCCACCATATTTTGTTGGTTTTGCTTTATGTGTACCAGTCAATAAATCATGCTGTTCTGTGGGAGTACTGAAGACATCTGATGATGTATTTGTGTTTTATAATTTATTTATAATATGGCTTTTATTATCCTTTTTTATTTTTCTAAAAGAAGACTGGGTTTGAAAGAGTTAATGCACACAATTCTGCTTGGTGTTTGTGTTTAATACTGTATTTAAATTAGAATTAATTATCTTCATTATGAAGCAGTGACTCCACATAATTTTGTTCCCTTTAATTTTGATCCTATCTCTTAATAATGAGTAGATACTTTCTGGATAGTTTTTGTGTGTGTAATTTTCATGAAATGCAACTAATTTCAGGTAAAAATGTCAAAGATCATTTTTATCTTGTAGCAGATCCTTTTGCAGAATGTTTTCCCCATTATTTCCAACCAGAAAACAACACTCTTGTCAGTTTCCTCTGTCACTTCCTTATCACTTACTCTCCTTTATATATTTTCGTGCCCAAGGTATTGTCAGTGTTTTGTGTCTGCCTTTATGATAGTCAGTTCCTGTCATTTTTTCCAGGAAACAAACCTTTCATAGCATCTGAAAGTTCCATGTCATATTTTTGTTTCATCACAGTTAAATAAATGTACGATTTATGTCTCAAAATATATTTTACACTTTTTTTGTTTTTTGAACATTCAATTAAAAAAAAAAACGTTTTAGAAAAAAAGAATTATAGATTAAAATGTGCCACATTACTTTTCAGTATTTATTCTCAATTAATTAGGAGGAGATTAAAATGCACCCACAAACAGCTGATCAGCTGATACGTTACATTCGACGGAGAATCATGACTAAAACAGATGTTCCATTCTTAACTGTAGAGGATCAGAAAAATATGGCAAGTTCTTTCATTTTCAAATTTTCATTTCATATACATGTGCACATATATATATGTTTATGTGAGTAGGCATGCGTACATGTTTACATATGTGTGTGTGTGTGTGTTATCTGTTTGCAAATTTTGTAAAAAATAATAATCATTAACTCTTCATGATGTGTTCTTATTTTAAAAAGAATGTTTCACATATGTACAGGTCAAACATGGATTTTCATTACAGCTAATGAGCTGAAAACCATACTATTATCATTGCTATAAATAAATAAACCTAGTGGGTGCCTAGTTGACCATGTTCTTAGTGCACTTGTATCCATGGCGAGGCGCAGATGTCGTCTGGAGGTGACAGGTTCAATTCCCGGTATGGTAACTATAGCTTTCGATTTTTATGTTGTCTAGTGTGTTCTTCTATCTTTCTACTTCTTTCTATCAGTGCCGATCAATACACTTTCTGTTACTTGATTAATTCATACTATTATCATTGTAAGGTTGCTGAGGCTGACTTAACGCTGAGTACATTATGCAGTGTCTCAGGCCACCATGAAGCCATTCAGCCATAATGTCCACCCTGACAGCTACTATAAGTCAAGTATCTAGCAGTTACAGTAATCAAAGTTCTTGTACACGAGGTACACAGTAAGTTTAGTCAAGGAGTGACCACAACACGCTGGATACCATCAGAAGTATATTTATTGACAAGACATTCGTGCTGACCAGCACAAAACAAATGAGGATGCAAAAATATACAACCTTGCAGTTTCATCACCATAATGCAAGCTCACACATCCTTAGTCTGGGGACGCAGACAAATTAACGTTGCGGTCTGAAGACCCACTAGCTTATATACACTGCCATTCTGTGCCTACACACAATCTGGCTAAACAAGATCGATCGAGGCACATGGCTCACCAGTTAGCAGTAAAGAAACTCATGGTGTCTCTTGCTTTCCAGTTGACACAGACTAATCGAGTCTTAACTGACCCTTTACAATAACAGAACATGAATCATAAATAAAGACAATAACATTATTACACTGGCTTGAGACTTAAAGAAATTAAAGAAGAAAAAAAACCAATGTCAATACATTTATTTCAGTATAGCATATATTTTAAGATAGTACATTTATCTATAGAAAGTAGATTTGTTTTAAGATAGTACATTCATTTTAAAATATTAATCCATTTGATATCCAAGAGATGTTTATGGGTATTGAATAGGAGGCACTAAACCAGTCCCTCTCTGTTTCAACAGCTCTGGCCACAGAGGCGTAGATAATTTCTCTGTCACTGCTTAAAATCTTGCACTAGTGATCAAAGCACACATTTTTCTTTAGAAAATCGTCTCATTGATCATTTATCTGTTCTGAGCCCAGCAGGCATCAATGTTCAGCATAAATTAATCTAAACAATTTTATTATTCTCACTATCATTTATTCTATAATTTGTTGTTGAAAATTTCTTTCTTCTGTTATTAGTACTATTTATGGACATTAGTATTTTTTTTTCCGACTTCTATTATGCACTATCACTGTTACTATTATTAGTATTTTTGCTCCATTATTTATTTTATCTATTCCACGTCAACTATTTTCTCTTCCTATATTTCATAGTTATTCATGTGACCCCTTCCCTGTGAGGATGATGACCAGAGTACTTTGCTTTTTGTTAGTGTTGTGTGGTTCATGTTGAAAAAGGCTTTCACTAAGCTTCTTAGTCAGATTTCAATGGATTGATTTCCTTGTATTTGCTTGAATGCAGTCACCCCTGTTTTCTTAATTTTAAGTTAGTCTCTTCAATTTTTGCCATTTCTTCTAAAGGCAGCCATTATTGTCAGTGAGGTGAATGGCATATGGCCTGATGTGAAGAAACAGATTGATGATCCATTTCTGGTGAGTTCGTCTCTTTATTTATATAACTATGTACATCATATAAGACAATATAATCATAGAGGAAGTTAGTCTCAGAAAACTGATTGCTCAAAACACCTGCCATGAGTACTTTTTAATATTAATGATACATTAACACTTCTAAGACAATATGCAGTTTAAGGTTAAACCTTCCTTCCTTCCTTCCTTCCTTCCTTCCTTCCTTCCTTCCTTCCTTCCTTCCTTCCTTCCTTCCTTCCTTCCTTCCTTCCTTCCTTCCTTCCTTCCTTCCTTCCTTCCTTCCTTCCTTCCTTCCTTCCTCCTTCCTTCCTTCCTTCCTTCCTTCCTTCCTTCCTTCCTTCCTTCCTTCCTTCCTTCCTTCCTTCCTTCCTTCCTTCCTTCCTTCCTTCCTTCCTTCCTTCCTTCCTTCCTTCCTTCCTTCCTTCCTTCCTTCCTTCCTTCCTTCCTTCCTTCCTACCTTCCTTCCTTCTTCCTTCCTTCCTTCCTTTCCTCCTTCCTTCCTTCCTTCCTTCCTTCCTTCCTTCCTTCCTTCCTTCTTCCTTCCTTCCTTCCTTCCTTCCTTCCTTCCTTCCTTCCTTCCTTCCTTCCTTTCCTTCCTTCCTTCCTCCCTCCTTCCTTCCTCCTTCATTCCTTCCTTCCTTCCTTTCTTCCTTCGGTTTCCAATTTATTATTTAGAAGTCCACAGTTTCAAGCAGTTTGTAAAAACATTCTTGTCCTTGTGATTAATTTACTGGAACGCTTACTTGCTGGTATTATAATCATAAGTTCAAAACCTCATTAACCCTTTCACCCTTTGAATGCTAAACAAAACAATTGGTCAAAAAACAAAACGGTAGAAATTTCATGAAAAAATCTTCAAAAACAACAATCATGTTAAATATAACACTAATAACTTGTTTAAACAATGTATTTTGTGTGTGTGTGCATGTGCGCATGCGTTTGCGTGTAAATATATAAAGATATATATATACATTTAAAGTAAATAATAAAGTAAAGATCCTTTTTCACGCCTTTAGTGGCATTGGGCATATGGGAAGAGCACCCATATTTTTACAGACCATCAGCACCAGATGGGTAATCTGGTCAGCATTACGCCGGCCGTCTTTACTTCCCCAGGACATCCATCCTGGTACCCATTTTAGGCTGGGTCGACCTGTGACGCCCCATACCATGATAAAAATCCACGCAGCCAGCAGTGGGTTTTGATCGCGGTACGTTGGAATTACGGGTCGAACTCGCAATGCCTAAGCCACGAACACCATACATATACATTGATAATCAGTAACATGAACAGAGTGAAGCATTAAATGGAATATATTTCCCAGGGCGTTTACAAAAAATGTATTGGGTGGCTATGTGGTGACCCCAAGTCCTCCATCATTGAGGCTTACATGAACATTTGATATCAACCTGGCTTTTAAAAAGCCACTGGTGTCATAAGGAAACTCTTTTAAATTCTTCTTTTAGTTACTGTAATAATATCCTGCTCTATCAAAACACAGTTAGTTAGTTAGTTAGTTAGTTAGTTAGTTGGGTTATCCTCATTGCACTCCGGACATGTCCATAGGTGCTCAGATCCTCCCCTCAGTATGAACCCCAACGTCTGATGGCTAATAGTGCCAGTTCTATGTTGATTAACAAGTCTTCTGGCGTGTCTGGTGTGCGTCTCGTTTTTTTGCTGTACCGATCTTAATTCCCAAGTCTGCCATTCTGGCGAGTGATGTTGATTCACTGCCACCAAAGTCCTCTATCCTTCCCATTTCTCTGAGGGCATTGATAATATCAGCATGATCCATAGGCTGACCGTCGGTAGTGATAGCGGATCCAGCCAACCTGTCAGCTCTTTCATTTCCATCGACGCCTGCGTGTCCCGGAACAAAAATAAAGGTGACTCCACGCACAGTGGACTTCTGTAATGATTCAAGCCATTGTCTTCGCACTGAACTTGCCTGAACCCTCTGGATCTTTCTCATTGAATCACTGAGTATACACACGCGGGTGTATTTTTGTGTTTCAAGCCAGGCAAGCGCTTGCGTCACTGCCATCACCTCCATCGTCATGCTGCTGGTTGTCATGGAGAAGGCTTCTTTGACTGTTCTGCCCACTGAGCGTGCTGTAAATGCCCATGCGCTTCTTCTTTGGCGTATAACGGATCCGTCTGTATAGATTATTGCATCTGCTTCGTCTGAATTTTCACCGATGAGAGCGTTGACCTCTGCATTAACAGCAACAGGATTCTCTTCTCTACATAGCCTGTTGAGTGTGACAATACAGGAAAATGTTCAAATAAACGCCTGAGGCACAGGTATCCATTCTGCACCAGGTATGATGTCGGTTAGGCTGCATATTTGCCTAATAACATCTTCTGCCCGACCTAGCCACGATTTCCCCCTCTTCAGTCTGTCGCCCTTTTCACTAAAAAGCGCTTGATGCAGTGGGTGTTTCTTATCGGCACATATTTTGAGATATGCCCGAGCTCTCCACATCCTGATCCTTTGGTTCATTGTTGGAAAGTCAAGTAGATACCTCATTGCTCCACAGGATGTGTCTCTTGTACATCCCAAAATAATGCGCATGGCTTCATTTTGCACCTTTTCGAGTCGTTCAATCTGGGTAGCACTGACAGTGAGGATGGCCAGAGCGTATTCAATGGGGGAAAGGACCAGACCGTAGAATAGAAGAATTAGTAGTCTTTGCTCTATATTGGAAGCAGCCATAATCCTCATTGCAGATAGACCTTTGCATGCCTAAGGGACCAATGGAATTTAACTACACTTTTGGAGAACAGGTCACTGGAGACATGGCTATTTATCAACATTTATGCATGGCACAGACAGAAGTGACTAGGTTTAGGCTTCTCAGGGCAAAAGGATTAAGGAAGATTTAAAAAAAACACACATTTAACCTGGGCTCAATCAAATATAAAATTAGCTACCAGTAAATGTCCTCATAAGTTAAAGCAGCTTAGCACAGTACTAACTGAGGACCAATTGATTTTTACTGTTAGGGAGATGGAGTAGGGTATCAGTGTGGTGGTCCTGGCCTGAAATCACTCTCAGAGTAAATATTTTTCTTTGTTACATACCCCATGCTTGCAGGGTTGATGCAGTCTCATAAAATTAGTGCCAGAATATTTTCTGGGTAATTAATTTTTTGATAATACTCAACACATGATGTTTTAATTGCTGATTAGTTTAAAAATATAGGCTTATCACCATATCCCCCAGTTTGCTCTGTGGTGTTGAAAGGTGTTTTTAACCTTATCTACTTAGTAACTTCTTAGATTTTTCCTTGTTTAGAACTGATTTTTCTCTGTGCCATGAAGCATTCGATACCAGAAATATGTCTATGTGATATTGACCACATTGGCCATCAAGTACCAATTTGGTTTTCATAAAAAAAAGGATCTATCACTATATTGCCTGATGTCCTAATGGCATAAAAAAGAGTCCTTTAATATTTTTAATTTTAATAGATATATGTTTTTATTTTACATTAACCATTTCAGTCCTAGATGTTTCCATGGGAAAAAAAAAACCAACTGAAGATTGGGAAAAACACCACTTGAAAAAAATAAAAAAATTACACCTACTCAAGAAGTGCATAACTTTAAGAGAGGATAAATATAAAGTTACAATAGCTAAGGAGGAAGCCCTAATGCTTTATGATCTAGACAAAATTTTTAATGTATTATAAAGTGGTTATGTTTGATAGAAAAGAGTCAATTATGCATAACACTGTGATACAGCCTGAAAGAGTTAGTATACATTTTTGTTTAGTAGTTGAATTAAATAGCTTTGATTTACCTAACATTTTAATTTGCTTAGACTGTTCAAGAAAACAAAGAGCTGCACAGACGGATAACTGTCTATATTGTTACA